GTTTTGCGTGTGCCCTGCGATTGTGCTCTGTTTGTTCGGGTTAAGTTAGGTTTAGAGCCCTGTGAGTGTAAAAGGATTGCCGGGTCTTGGTGGTTCTTGTGGTTTCACTGCTTAAAGGGGGCCGTTGCATAAGCCTTCAAACTCGTCGTCTGCCCCGTTGTCTGCTCCGCGATTGCTCTCTGTTGGTTCGGGCTAGACTAGATTGAGGCTTTCTTATTGTTGAGGGATTGCCGGGGTTTGGGGGTGCTTGTGGTTTCACTGCCTTTAGTGGGCCGTTGCATAAGCCTTCAAACTCGTCGTCTGCCCCGTTGTCTGCTCCGCGATTGCTCTCTGTTGGTTCGGGCTAGACTAAATTGAAGCTTTCGTATTGTTGAGGGTTTGCTGGGGTTTGTTGCCCGGGGCCGGGGCATCTTCCCACAGCCAGGGTCCGGGGCCGGGGTACCTTCCCACAGCCAGGGCGCGGGGCCGGGGCAGGGCAGGGCAGGGCTGGGGCTGGGGCTGGGGCTGGGGGGGCTGGTGCTGGGGCTGGGGCTGGGGCCACTAATACTTACTAATACTAATGGTCTTGGAACCTTCAATTTCTGAGCCAGTTTGGCTCAGTGGCCAAGACTAAGACTCTAAACTCTTAAGGGCACTGGAGTGTTTCTGGATCCCCTCTGAGAGAGCAGCAACACCCTCTTGGAGGCTCTGAAGTGGATTCGTCGCCGTGGCGATCGCGATTCCACGTAATCGTGGACCGGAAGACCCTCTTGCAGGCTCTGAGAAGGCTGTAGCCCACTACCGAGACTCCTCTTAGCGCCTCTGATAGGGCAGCTTAGAGCCTCTGAGAGAGCAGCTTCTGAGAGAGGCTCTTAGGGCCTCTGAGAGAGCAGCAAAAGCTCCTCTGTGGGCTGGGGAAGACCCTCTTGCAGGCTCTGAGAGGGTTGTAGCCCACTACCAAGACCCCTCTTAGAGCCTCTGATAGGGCAGCTTAGAGCCTCTGAGAGGGCAGCTTAGAGCCTTTGAGAGAAGAGCAGCAGAGCCTCTGAGAGAGGCTCTTAGAGGTTCTGAGAGAGCAGCAAAAGCTTCTCTGTGGGCTGGGGAAGACTCTCTTGCAGGCTTTGAGAGGGCTGTAGCCCACTACCAAGACTCCTCTTAGAGCCTCTGATAGGGCAGCTTAGAGCCTCTGAGAGAGCAGCTTCTGAGAGAGGCTCTTAGGGCCTCTGAGAGAGCAGCAAAAGCTCCTCTGTGGGCTGGGGAAAACCCTCTTGCAGGCTCTGAGAGGGTTGTAGCCCACTACCAAGACTCCTCTTAGAGCCTCTGATAGGGCAGCTTAGAGCCTCTGAGAGAGCAGCAAAGCCTCTGAGAGAGGCTCTTAGGGCCTCTGAGCAGCAAAAGCTTCTCTGTGGGCTGGGGAAGACCCTCTTGCAGGCTCTGAAAGGGCTGCAGGGTTCAGGGTTTGTTAGGAGTTGCCCTTTTCTTTTTGCCCAGGCTCGTCGCTGCTGCTTTTGCGTGGCCGGGCCCCCCTCGCGAGGCTTCGGGGGTTCCAGGTGGGTTGGGGCTGCGAGGCAGAGAGGTCCGAGTGCGCGAGGCTTGGGTGTTGAGGGTCCTTCGGCTTTGGGAGGTGGCTTGGGGCTCAGAGGCAGCCAGGTTTGTGAGTGCGTTCTTTTAGGGCGTTTGTTTGTTAGGGCTTGGGGTTGGTTGGAACGTAAGGTTCGTCAGGGTTTAGGGTTCGCCCTCGCATTTTTGGGGTTTGGGGTTAGGGTTGCGGGTAGGTTGTTTGGGTCATCTTATTTACTTAAAACCTCGTGGGGGCTAACCTTCTCAATATACTTAAACCTTTCAACTTACTTAAACCCTCGTGGGGGGGGGCAACCCTTTCAATTTACTGAAACCAACCCTTGCGGACGCTAAGGCTTTTCGGGTTAAGGGTTTGAGGGTTTTCGGGTTTAGGGTTAGGGTTTAGGGTTTTCGGGTTTAGGGTTTAGGGTTTAGGGTTTAGGGTTTAGGGTTTAGGGTTTAGGGTTTAGGGTTTAGGGTTTAGTTTAGGGTTTAGGGTTTAGGGTTTAGGGTTTAGGGTTTAGGGTTCGCCAGCGCAGTTGCTGGCGCCCCGAGCAATTCCGCTTTCAATTCCGCTTTCAAGCTCTGTCTAGCTTTTTTTCCTTAGGGGGGTAGCCCTAATCCCTAAAGTTTGCCGGAAAAAGTTTTTTGCTTTTTTCCATCCAGCCTCGCCCCGGCGCCCCTAATCCCTAAAGTTTGGCGGAAAAAGTTTTTTGGTCCGCCCGGCCCCACCCCCGGCCGCTTAAAGTTTGGTGGATGATTTGTCCACCCGGCCCAGGCCCCGGCACCCTCAATCCCTAAAGTTTGGCGGAAAAATCTTTTTTTGTCCACCCGGCCCCGGCCCCAGCGCCCCTACTCCCTGAAGTTTGGCGGAAAATGTTTTTGTTTGTCCACCCGGCCCCGGCCCCGGCCAAAAGATTGGTGGATTTGTGTTTGCATTTTTTGCTAACCTGGCCCCGGCCCCGGCGCCCCTAATCCCTGACGTTTGGCGGAACAAAGCTGTTTTTGTCCACCCCCCGGCCCCGGCGCCCCTAATCCCTAAAGTTTTGCGGAAAAAGCTGTTTTTTTGGTCCACCCGGCCAAGGCCCCGGCCTAAAGATTGGTGGATTTTTTTTCGTACACACGGCCCCGCCCCTTTTCCCGATTTTTTTGCTTATTTTTTTTTGTCCACCCGGCCGGCCCCGGCGCCCCTAATCCCTAAAGTTTGGCGGAAAAAACTGTTTTTTGTCCACCCGGCCCGGCGCCCCTAATCCCTAAAGTTTGGCGGAAAAAGTTTTTTTGTCCGCCCGGCCCCAGCCCCAGCCGCTTAAAGTTTGGTGGATGATTTGTCCACCCGGCCCAGGCCCCGGCACCCTCAATCCCTAAAGTTTGGCGGAAAAATCTTTTTTTTGTCCACCCGGCCCAACCCCGGCGCCCCCTTCTGACCTGGCCCTGGACCGCCTCCTTCCCCTCCCTGCACCTTTTCTGGCTTTTTGGGCCCTTTGGCTGGTGCCCCTGAGCCCCCGAACTACGTCCAAGCCCCCAAACTTGGTTTTTTGCTTTTTCCACAAATTTGGTTTTTCTTTTTGCAGGCCCCCTCCAAGCCCCCAAATTGTGTTGGCGTTCTCCAGCGATGTTGTGGCCATCGCAAGCTTGTAACGGCGAGGAGTTGTCTTTGCGCTTTTCATACACATGGAGCAACCTTTTTTCCAGTTGGCTGGAGAAGCGTTCAGCTTTTTCGGCCAAGAACTCTCACCTGAAGTGCGGCGTTCGACTCCCCAACAAGCAAAACAAACTCCACTTGCAGTGCCGGGTAAAAACTTGTCAATTTACTTAAACTGCCCTGTGGTCGACCGTTGCTTGCCTTAAATCCTGCGTATCTGCTGGACATCAAACCAGAAGCTGCGCTGGCGCACCTTCGGCCTCTGGCCGTCTAAAATTTAGGGTTTAGGTTTTAAAGGGGAAATTAAGGGTCTTTAAGGGTTTAGGGTTTAGGGGTTTTAGGGTTTTAGGGTTTAGGTTTAGGTTTAGGGTTTAGGGTTGTAGCGGTTTAGGGTTTTAGGGTTTAGGTTAGGGTTTTTAGGGTTTTTAGGGTTTTAGGGTTTATGGTTTTAGGGTTTAGGGTTTAGGGTTTAGGTTTAGGGTTTAGGGTTTAGGGTTTAGGGTTTAGGGTTTAGGGTTTAGGGGTTTAGGGTTTAGGGTTTAGGGTTTAGGGTTTAGGGTTTAGGGTCTTAGGGTTTAGGGTTTAGGGTTTAGGGTTTATTGACATTATTTAGGGTTTGGGGTGCGGAAACTCCTCGCACCGGGCCGCCCCTCCTCTTCCTGTAACGAAAGGGCCCGGTTGGCCGGTGGAAAAACTCGCGTTTGGACACCGGCCAACCGTTCTTTCTTGTTGTCCAATTGGACAGGTTGGCCGGTGACAGACGGTGACAGAGAGTTTTTTTTTTGATCCATGTTTTGAGTTTGGTTGTCGAGTTGGTCAGGTTGGCCGGTGACAGGGAGTTTGAAGGGGTTTTGTCAGCTGGAATTGGGCTGGGACTGGGCCTGGATTTGGGGTCTGGAGCCTGGATTCGGGATTGGGGTCTGGAGCCTGGATTTGGGGCCTGGGGCTTGGATTTTGGGTCTGGAGCTTGGATTTGGGGCCTGGAACCTGGATTTGGGTCCTGGATTGGGATTGGGCCTGGATTTGGCTTTGGTGTTGGAGCCTGGATTTGGGGTCTGGCTTGGATTTGGCCTGGATTTGGGACTGGTGCCTGGATTTCGGACTGGGCCTGGCTTTGGGGTGTGGGGTCTGGATTTGGGACTGGGCGGGCTGGACCTGGATTTGGGACTGGGCCTGGATTTGGGACTGGGCCTGGATTTGGGGTCTGGTGCCTGGATCGGACCGTGGGGTCTGGTGCCTGGCTTGGGCTGGGCCTGGATGTGGGGTTTGGCCTGGATTGGGGGCCTGGGGCGCCTGGGGCCTGGGTTTGGCGCATTTTGGGATTGGGTCTGGAGAGCCTGGATTTGGGGCCCTGGATTTGGGTCTGGATTTGGGGCCTTTTGGGACTGGACCTGGATTTGGGGTCTGGAGCCTGGATTTGGGGCCTCGGAGCCTGGATTTGGGGTCTGGGAAGGTGGGCCTGGGTTGGAGGTTATGGAGAAATATTGGATAATTCTGTTGATTCTTCGTGCAAGAATGTCAGGATTTCCGGTTTAGGCTTGGGGGCATAAGCAGTGCTTCATGAACATGCCAAAGCTTTCTTGTGGCTGATTTGGAGTCGCTTGCGGCATGCAGACAAATCTAGCCGAATCTCGGATTGCAGTTCCATTTACGAACCAAGCTTGGCACGGACGCAATGCGGCATATACTCTTTTCTTCCCGTCGAAAGCGGTGCTTGTGCGTCTGTACAGCTGCTCCACCAGTCTGTAAAGGAGCGTGCGCTTTCGAATTCGCTCAACTCGTCTGCACCATGAGTCAAGCGTGCCGAGAGCTCGGGTTTCTAGTCCCATAGAGGGATCATTGCATAGGTGCGGTACATTGTGAAACTGAATGGCAGGTTCTCGATCAAGACAGGCTTTGGTTGGAAAACGTCTAGCAAGTAAATCCTACCTTCAAAAGATCTCAGCGCGGCCCAGTACTCCTTGTGGTTTCTCCCTCGCGTTCCACGGATCTGTAGCAGTGCCTTGGCTGTTGTTGGCCATTTGTCGTCGTTGCGCAGGAGTTGCAGCTTCAAGCCTATCCTCGCCAGCATGTTGCTGATGTACAGTGGAGAGAATATCACTTGATCATACGACAGCATGTGCTGGTACCAGTCGTAGCCGCGCTCCGTCAACAGGCTTGAGGTCTCCGATGCATCAATAAGAAATTCCGTCTTCCCAAGAGCATTGTTGATGGAAGCCTCTGCGCTTAGGAGCTGCTGCGTTTGGAAATCCAGGCGATCTTCGAGGCCTTCGAAGTACAAGCTATCGCCGGCGTCAGTCAAGAAGCACCACCTCGGCTGGTGTCGATATGCGATCCCCGTGGATAGAGGTACCATGGTGCCAGCCTGCAATAAGCCCTCCTCCATTGCCCACTTTAAGCTTGCGTCGTAGAAAGGAGGTCCTGCTGCCATGGAATTCAAATATTTCGCCTTCAAGGCACGCCGGACTTTCCACCATGCGCGGCGTTTACCCCGCACAATTGCAGGCTTGCCACTCCAGTATGTGCATCTTTTGCAGTTCGTTTTGATGTTGGCAAAGGGCTCCTGCTTGCGATACTGCAAATAGATCCAATGCTGGCGCCAACCTTGGCTGTCTCGGCAAGCAGCGTCTCGCAGATATTTGCGACTGCCTTCACTGATTCTTGGGCTGGCAGCAGGGATCGGCTTGCCCTTCAAGAAATGTCTCAAGCGTTGCTTCTTCTTGTGTAGCCAACTGTTCCGCTTCTCCAACTTGCTCTCTTCTCCCGCTTTTGTGCGAAGCAAGTGCTGCTCGCTGACAGATAGCGCACAGAGCGAGCCCAGTTCAAAGGCAGCTTCGTACACCGGCGATTTGACGCATCGCCAATGCTTCAGGAGCCTTTGCAAGTTCCCTTTGCCCACACGGGAAGAGAGCGTCCGGTGCAAAGCTTCAACACAGCACAGCACACAACGCTTTCCGGTCGGCTGGGCAGGGCCGCCGAATCCGTCCCGGGCAAACAGACATGGTCTGGCTTCGCCGCCTGCAGGATCCTCGAAGCCAGCGCAATATTTCGGCATGGTGGCAGAAGTGCGAAACAATGTCTAGAGTCTAGGCCTAGGTATTCTCTGCGGTCTGGTTAGCTTGCTTTTCGCATGGATGTTCGCCTGTAACCTTTGAGCTCTCACCTAGCTCGAGCAACGCGCCTGCGGCATGGGTGGGAATATTCAAGCTAAGAAGCACCTTTCGATTGCGGCCAAGCTGGAACACTCGTCTCGGTCTTCTTTTTGCTGTCAGGCGACCACACTTGGACCTCTATGAGCCAAACCCGGCCCCATTCGGGATCCAGACCCAGTCTGCGAAACCAGCCGCTCAGGCGGGCGTCGTCGCGACAGCTGGTGATGTCCTGGCCTTCCAGATTTTAAAATGATACTATGCATATCTTTGCGTTCAGCACAAAGGTTCCAAGAAAGATACAGCTGAGCTCCAGACCGTCTGGCCGCGGATTTTGCCACTTGTGGTTCCCCTAATGCCCTCCACTCGGACCTGTAAGGACGATGTCCGGTTCTTCTCGGGGCGCAGGATGAACCGCGGCCGGCACTGCTTCGGAGTGTACAGAGCCACGACCCGCAGAGCAGTTTCCACAGTCGGGTCCAGGCCGTACCTGAATGAGTTTGTCACAAAAATATAATCGAATTGCATCCAAGCTCAGAACTAGGCCGCCGACCGAAATTGGTAGGCGAAAGGATATTTGAAGTCCATCTCGGTTTGCTTCAATTTGTCCTTGAGAACCTGAAACAGGGAGCAACCGAATAAGGAATGTGCGTTTAGATCTGGTGTCTCTGGCCTTGTGAGTTACGGCGTCGCACATGGCTTCGACTAGGGAGTGCGGGCGCTCTAAGTCGACTATGATCTTGAGCTGGACCTGGCTGCAACAAGACATAAGACATAAGATCAGAAATCTGAGCTCGCGACGTGGACCCTGAAGCCTGCCTGAACCCTTTTCGGGCATTCGCTAGAGATTCAATTCTGGAGAATTCGGCGAGAGAAAACCTGTTCAAGAGGGGGGGAGGCGGCTCAGTGATGCGAGGAAAAACCCCTCGCGGTTTCAAGCGGAAAGAGGGAGAAGAAGCGAGCGCGAACGCTCTGAAAAATTGGCCGCGTCGGGACTTGTAGGTATGCGAGGCCCGACAGCGGGAGAATAGCGCACCTCCGCTTCAGTTGAAGCGTCACTGGTAGCGATATTGCCCCCTCTCGCTGGGACGGTTAAGGTGGCCTTTAAAGCTGTTGACTTTTTGGAAAAAAACGCACTGTGTGTATTTCGCGGTGGCTGCATTACCAAATGGGTGGGAGCCATTTTGAGAAAGTATGCAAAACATAGGCAAATCCCTATAGTTATCACACCCCGCGAAACCCCTTTTGGTGCAGATAAGCACCCCTGGCAGGCAACGGTTTGGGCTGCAAGTGCGGGTGTTTTGCCCTGTTTGGGTGCCTTGGCGGGCAGATGGTGTGAAAAATGTGGCATTTTGCCAATGTTTTGCATACTCCGAAAACGGATTTGGCTGGATTACTGCCTTTTTCAAGAAAAAGCACCGGCTCATGAGTGTGACAACCGAGGGTGCTCCAACAGCCCCCTGCTCCAACCAGGGCTGCGGGTGTTTTGCCCTGTTTGGGTGCCTTGGCGGGCAGATGGCGTGAAAAATGTGGCATTTTGCCTATGTTTTGCATACTCTGAAAACGGATTTTGCTGGATTGCTGCTTTTTTTCAAGAAAAGCACCGGCGAGTCAAATTCAGTTAAAATGCCTTGAGTTTGGCCATCTCAGTAGCCCTTGGGAAAACCCAAATTGGCTCCAAATCACGACAATTGGCCATTTGGCGATTTCCCAAATCCGCTAAATAGGCAAAAAAGCCCTTATTTTGGCCATTTTGTCTGCCCTTGGGAAAGCCCAAATTGGTTCAAAATCACGAAAATTTGCCATTTGGCGATTTCCCAAATCCGCAAAATAAGCCAAAAAGCACTTATTTTGGCAATTTTGGCAGCCCTTGGGAAAGCCCAAATTGGCTCAAAATCACGAAAATTGGCCATTTGGCGATTTCCCAAATCCGCAAAATAGGCCAAAAGGCCCTTATTTTGGCCATTTTGGCAGCCCTTGGGAAAGCCCAAATTGGCTCAAAATCACGAAAATTTGCCATTTGGCGATTTCCAAAATCCGCAAAATAGGCCAAAAAGCCCTTATTTTGGCCATTTTGGCAACCCTTCGGAAAGCACAAATTGGCTCAAAAATACGAAAATTGGCCATTTGGCGATTTCCCAAATCCGCAAGATAGGTCAACAAACCCTTATTTTGACCATAAATTTGCGGAAACAACAGTTCGGAAACTTCCGCTTGGAAACAACGGCCCCCTGCCCCCTGCCCCAGGGTTTCATTGTGGTTGGGGGATAAGGCTCGGGGGCGGGGCTACTGGCGGGGGAGGGAGGAGGGGGTGTTTCATTGTGGCTGGTGGCGAGGGGGGTGGGGGGAGAGCGCACACCTGGGATCCGAAAATAAGGACTCCGACCCTGTTCGGGTTGGGACCATGCACCTAGGACCCCATTTTGGTTGAGCCGCAAAGGCTTCCGACAGTCTTTGCATCAGCGCGTTTCATTCTTCCGAAAAAAGATGAACAAAACAAGTAATGTCAATTTATAACATTCTTGAGGGTTTAGGGTTTAGGGTTTAGGGTTTAGGGTTTAGGGTTTAGGATTTAGGATTTAGGGTCTAGGGTCTAGGGTTTAGGGTTTAGGGTTTAGGGTTTAGGGTTTAGGGTTTAGGGTTTAGGGTTTAGGGTTTAGGGTTTAGAAATTGTATAGGGTTTGGGTCCGGGGTTTTGAGCGGGTTTTGGGCGGGTTTTGAGCGGGTTTTGAGCGGGTTTTGAACGAAAGTTTCGTTTTTTACTTTGGTGTTTTCATTTTGGGAGTGGGCTGGGCTCGGGTGGGCTGGCTGGGGCCGGGACCTGAGTCCGGGGTTTGAGCGACAGTTTTGCTTTGGTGTTTTGATTTTGGGAGTGGGCTGGCCTGGGGTCGGGCCTGGCTGGGGTCGGGGCCGGATTGGGCTGGAGTCCGGGGTTTTGAACGAAAGTTTTGACCGGGCTTGCTTCTTTGCTTTGGTGTTTTGATTTTGGGACTTTGAGCGACAGTTTTGGCAGGGTTTAAGTTGTTGCTCTGCAAGTTTGAATCTGGTGGGTTTTGGGCTGGGCTGAGCTGGGTGGGCTGGGCTACGAGGCTGGACTAGCCACTTGGGCGTGGCTTGGCTGGGGGCTTCACCTTGCATTGACCCTTCGTCTTTCTGGCGCCAAGGAGCCGGAACCAGGCAGCTTGGGAACAGAGACCAACACCTGCAAGCAGGATAGAACATGTGGTGTCCATGCAACAGGGAAATCAATGCCTGCAAGCAGGACAGAACGTTTGGTGTCCATGTGACAGGGAAGGCTTAGTAGGTAACTGTTGTCTATCTGCAGTCACGGAGCTGACTCGAAACCAGCACACGATAAAGACCCACCGGGAATCAAGATGTTGAGCCCATGGCGGGGACGGCAGCGTTGATGCTGTGAGTGCACTGCAAAACGGTCCCTGTGTCGCCGCAGTTTCGGACATGCTTCACATGTGACAGACAAGCCCTGGCAACGCACTACTCTCTTTTTGCTGGTCGCGGTCTGCGCCTGTACTACGTTGCTGCCGCCTTGTGCTGGTGCAGCCTCAGAAGCCGCGCTGGCCTTTCAAATGTGCCTCAGTGCGTAGGTCGGGTGCACCACAAGAAGGGCGTCCAGTTCTCCATCGCTAAGCTCCTGCGGCTGCTCCTGCATGGAATCCAGGTAGAGGAAGCAGTGCTCTAGAGGCCTCACAGCCACCCAGTGCCGACCTTCAAGGTTCACCACCGCGCCAATGCAGCCGTGCAGGTCTCCGGCGGTCGTGGCACGCTGGATGTCCATCTGCCAACGTAGTTGTCCGAACTCTTCCATCGCCTTGGTTCTCAGGACCATGCTCATGATTTCGATCGAATAGTCCCCCTGAGCTTCTAGATGGTCCTGCATGTTGTCGCCAAGCTCGAAATTCTCGTCCAGAAAGGCTTTGGCAGCTCGGGGCATGTCGACCGCGTCAATGCAATGAGCCCCGAGGGCATTGTTCAAAGCGTGGAGGCCGCACCGGAGCGCTTCCTGACGCTCGAAGAATCGCGGTTCCCGACCTGCCGCCTCTGACCCAGGCTGTTCTCGACCGTACATTTTGGCCACTTTGGCAGCTGGCGCAGTTGCCGGGGAGCTGTCCGTGGCTGGTCTCTTGGATGCAATGGTGGCTGCGAGCATGAGTCTGGGTTTTGCGTTGGTGCTCTTGCCTTTGGCTTGGGTCTTGGCTGTGGCTTGGTTCTGGCCTTTGGCTTTGGCTGTGCCCTTGGCTTTGGCTTTAGCCTTTGCTTTGGGCGCGGGCTTGGCAGGACACGTGCGCCGGTGCTGCTTCTTGGCTGCTGCGGTGTCCGGTACCTCCTGCCCGCAATCTGGGCACTGCCAAGGTACCTCACCGTGTCCCTGCTTCCTCTCTTCCTGCCGCATCCAGTCTGGACTGCGCATGTTGCGGAGCTTGCTCTCGTAGAAGTCCTTGCTCTCCGGTGGTCGGAAGAGCTGCTTCCAGAGCTGCGAGCCATCACGGTCTGCCTGCTGAGCTTTCAGCCTGGTCAGCGCCCAGTCTGCGTTGGCGTTGAATCGCAATGCTTTGATGTTGAAGTGCTCTAAAGTGCAGAGGGCTTGCTCCGGGCAGCGGCTCAGGGCCACATAGGCTTGACCCTCTTGCGTGCAAGTGGCATCCAAGCGGCAGTGTGCTCCGTCGCGCAGAGTGGCTGCTTGGCTCTTGTGAATGGAGATGGCTTTTGCAATCACCAGAGGAAACTGCAGCCTCGACGCCTTGCTGCCTTCCATGTCCAGAAAGCTGGCCGACCGGCGCGAGATTGCGACGCTGCTGGTGTCGTTCTCCGCGCACCACTTCGCCCCCGCGTTCTTATCGAAGGCGATCCAAATGCGTTCCACCTCGTTGGTCTCCTCGTCTGCATC